TATATATATAGTGGGCTTTGTCCAAACCTATATATATATATGTATATATCTATCTGCTTTATATATATATATATGTATGTATAATATAGGCCTACATATATTGTCTCAGCCCTTCTTAATTGGATAAATTACAACGATGAATTATCTGATGAAACGTAACTATCTACTACAGACTTTGCATATTCCATTCACAACAACAAAACCACTGAATTAAACATTGATGGTGAATATGGTATTGCAACTATCAAACTCAAAGTAAACAGTAAACAAACTGACGGTGAGTACTAATATTTTATAAGTCTGTCATGACCATATATGGGCATACAACAATTTTTTTGTCAAAGAAAATTTGATAGTTTGGACAAAGCTCTAAATATTTAAACTTGAAAGTTAACCTGTTTTGAAGAGCAGCTGGATAAACTGAGCTTCAAATGATGATGAAGATGATGATGATAATGATGATGACGATGATGAAGAACATAATGAAGATAACGTCCATACTAAATTTAAACAAGCGTTATAGTAAATTCCTGTAATGGAAATTATATATTCAGAAAAATCTGCCAATTTAAAATATATAGGCCCAAAGTTTTCTGTCTTGTTTTTACATTGACATCTATAGAATAATTTGCATAGGCCTAGGTGTCATTAGTGAAATATCGGCAAAAAGTATGATAATAAAAAAACCATGTCTTTCTCACAGGATACTACATATCAGTTGCAACAATGTTCTCTGTCGTTATTGATATTGAAGGCAAATTGCTGTAAGTATCCCCTTGTCATTGGCGCAGATCCTGGGGGTGGTGGCGGGGACACGTCTTCCCACATATTGGGGGGGGGGTTGGTCCCCCACGTTTCGACTGCAATTGTAAATTCATAAGTAAAGCTTATGCCTGAAGCTGTTGAAATGAACTGTAAATGAACCAGCTTTTAACGAAAAAAGCGCTGTACAGCCGTATACTGTACATCTTATATTAAGTAGTTTTCGCCGATCGACGTTAACCTTAACTTTAACGTTAGTACCCAAATTACAACACGATAGCTTCGCCCCTTTTGTAAACAAAACGAAAAATTCGCATGCGCAAACCCATAACTAACGTACGTCGAGCACGTAAAATCCTGAAATTAACGTGCTCCGCAACGAAAGATGAATGAATTATGACGTCTTCCGTTAACGTTAAGGATAACGTCGTGCGGCGAAAACTACCTATTATAGCAAGATACCGATATGACTAAGTCTGAATTAAATACAAGACTCGAGTGCGAGTGCTTTTGTTATAATTTGAGAAGTATGAGAAAAAGTATAAGATTTTTGTTACACGAAGTAGGTAAAATAAAGTAAATACATTAAAGACAATTAAGTTTTATTTTCTATGGTACAATACAGATTAATTAGATATATATGACAGCCGAAAATCGCTGATAAAAGATCATGGTGACAGCGGCAGTTGTGGAGTATGTTCCACAGGCATAAATTCCGATGACCGGGTAATGTGCAGCGCATAGATAGATTATGTGCTATTTCGGAATGTTATTAATTCATTTATTGATTGATATTCAGAAAAGGTTTATTCTATTTTGTGTAGCGTGTCTTAAATCTTAATATAAATAAAGTATATTCTTCCTTCGAAACTACGTTATTGTCTGCGAAAAAAATGAAAATTGTGTGTTGGAAAACATTTTGTATTTAAAAATATTAAACTGCTATCATAGATTTAGTGCTATTATAAAAAAAAAAAATAATAAGCCATTTCAGGCAAGGTCAATCGATATAAACTAACATCCCATAAGGCCAACTCAGACAGCGTCGGCCGACGCAGCCCGACGCGATTTGTTGTCGCGTCGGGTCTGTGTGAGTTGAACGCAGACGCGATGGTGTGCGTCGGGGGCAGTCGCGTAGTAGAATATTAAACG